TCAGTGCTATGGTGTTCTCTAAATCCAGATTGGAAAGCTTCAAAAAGTTTGTTACTGTGCAGATGTTCATGTAGCTGCACTAGGACAACCTTCTCAAGGATCTTAGAGATGTAGGGAAGGTTGGATATAGGCCTGTAGTTGGCTAATACATCTGGATCAAGAGAGGGTTTTTTAAGTAGCGGATTAATGACAGCCACCTTAAAGGCCTGTGGCACGTAGCCTGTGACTAAGGAAAGGTTGATCTGGTTCAGTATGGCAGCGTTAACTAAGGGGAAGACATCCTTGAGCAGTCTTGTTGGGATTGGGCCAAGCAGACATGTAGCTGATTTGGAGGAGGTGATTGCAGAAGTTAAGTCTGACAGGTCGATGGGGGAAAAACTGTTCAAGTATGCACCAAGTCTGGGAGGTGCTTTCGTAGGGACTGTAATCTGTGGTCCACTTCTGCCGATCCTTGTTCTGATATTTACAATCTTTTCGGTAAAGAAAGTTATGAAATCGTTTCTGCTGAGAGTCGGAGGGATGCATGGCTCAACAGCACTGTGGTTCTTAGTCAGCCTGGCCACAGTGTTAAAAAGGAACCTGGGATTGTTTTTATTCTCTCAGATTAAAAATGAAAAGTATGTACTTCTGAAGCTGCAAAGTTCTTTTTTATATATTAATAAACTATCTTTCCAGGCTCGACGGTCTTCCTCACTTGGCTGGAATGTGTTTTCCTTTCCAGCTGTCTGGTCTTCTGCTTCAAGATGCGCAGGTTTGAATTGTACCAGGGAGCTATTCTCTTCTGGTTGATTACTTTCATTCTCAGTGGGGCTAAAGCATCAAGTGCTCCAAGGAGTGTTGCCGCAGTCTGAGATAATCTACCTGCAAGGGAGTAAAATCATCATACCTTCCCATCATATTACTATAAGTTCAGTCAGACAACTCTGAAATGAGAATAAATAATTTATTGGACATAAGCAAGCTGAAGCACAGCAAGCTGAAGCACAGCATAGGTGGCCTATCCTTGAGCATGGCTGCAGCAGGTTTGGCGTCAGGCTCTGTCTCAGTTATTCATTCCCTGAATAATGATCTGTTTGACAGACCTAACAGGGAATGAAAGCAGACCCCTGCAGGGGATCATAGAGACAGAGCCCACAGGTGGATGCTGGGGAGGTGGTGGGTTTGCAAAACCTCATGGGCAGCAGGGGTAGTAGCAGCAGCAGCAGCAGCATGAGCAGTAGCAGCAGCAAGGGTACCAGCAGTACCAGCAGCAGAGACAGCAGCAGCAGCAGCAGCATCGGCAGCAAGCAAGGGGAGAGCAGGTAAGCTGTGTGGGTTTAAATAACCCACCCTATTTGGTTGAGGGGAGTATGTGACTGATCAGCTGATCAGGACGGGTGCAGCTTGAGTTGTCTGCCTGAACTAGCTTCACAGGCTTCGCATCATGTGTGGCAGCAAGCTCTGCTGGAATGAGCTCTTTAAATCTAGAAACAGCAGTGTCAGATAAACATCTACTGTTGTGGGTTTTTTTCCCAGGTAAAGTATAATTTGTTAAAGTAAATCCAAAGGTTATTAAAGAATGGTCAGACAAGACCGGGTTCTGATGAAAAACTGTGATGTGATCCACTTCTATTGCATAAGTAAGTACCAGATCAAGGATATGATTAAAAGAGTGAGTGGGTTCATGTACCCTCTGCGAGAAGCCAATTGAATCTAAGAGTGCCTTGAATGTTGAGGCCAGACAGTCATCATCAACGTCCATGTGAACACTGAAGGCACCCACTATAATGACTTTGTCTGAGTTCATTGCTAAATTTGACAGAAAGTCAGGGAATTCTTCTAAGAACTCAGAATAAGGTGCAGGAGGACAATACGCCACAGCAAGAGTGGTTTCTCTGCTTTCCAGTCTGGGTGAGGGACGCTGAGCGTAAGGCTTTCAAATGAGTTATATGAAACATTAGGTCGAGGGTTAATAAGCAGATCTGACTGATAAACTGCAGCCACTCCTCCTCCTCTACCAGTGTTACGAGGCACATGGTAGTTAATGTAACTGGGAGGGGTAGATTCATTTAAACTGACATATTCATCCAGCTGCAACTAAATTTCAGTTAGAGTCAGTAAGTCAATTTGGTGATTGGTGATCAAATCATTTACTAGCAGAGACTTGGATGAGAGAGATCGAATATTTAGCAAACCACATTTAATAGTTTTATTTGTTTGGTTTGCTGAAGTAGTGGTTTTGATTTTAATTTTAACTAGGCTGCTATAATTAGCTCCTCCAGCTTGGGTTTAGGCTTATACAGCCTTGAGGCAGACACAGTTTTTATGGGATGTAAGTAGGGTTGGGTGGGTGACAGCATAAAGGAACCTGCAGATGGGTGTGCAAGACTGCGGCTCTGCTTGCTGGTCTGAACTCTGGGTGATTGTCAGGGGTTGGAATGACTAACAGAATGTGCTATGTTTCTAGATAAGAGAGATGCGCCATCCAAAGTAGGATGGACGCCATCTCTCCTAATCAGACCAGGCTTTACCCAGAAACTCTTCCAATTATCTATATAGGCCACGTTGTTTGCTAAGCACCACCTAGACATGCAGCAATGGAACGACCACATGCGGCTAAACATGTCGTCACTAGACAAATTGGGCAGTGGGCCAGAGAAAACTACGGAGTCCGACATTGTTTGTGCGTAGTTACACACGATTCTATATTAACATTAGTCAACTCCAACTGGCGAAGTCGGGTATCATTAGCGCTGACATGGATTACGATCTTACTGTATTTATGTTTACTTTTTTTTCAGCAGCTTCAAATTTGCCTCAACATCGCCCGCTCTGGCCCCTGCGATGCACCTAACTATGCTCGCCGGAGTCTCTACCCTCACGTTCCGGAGGACAGAGTTGCCAATGACTAATGTCGGCTTCCCGCCGGCGGTGCCGCTGAGAGCAACAGAGCCAACATACCGAATTTGGGTCTCAGCGGGTGTGTGCAGTTGGTGGTGCAACACGGGCCGTGTGGACTTATGTTTCCTCTGTGCTGTCACCCAGCGAGCCTGGCTTCCCGGCTGCTCGGGAGCTGCGGGGGAGCTGCTAGCAGCGGCTAGGCTAGGTGGCTCTGCGCTGAGCTGAGAAGCTACCTGAGCTAAAGGACTAGCCTCCATGGTGCGGAGCCGGGACTCTAGCTCACTAAGCCTCGCCTCCAGGACTGTGAACAGGCTACACTTATTACATGTACCATTATCATTAAAGGAGGCAGGGGAATAACTAAACATCAGGCACACGGAGCAGGAGAGAGAAGGAGAAGTGGAGGGAGAAGCAGCGGGAGAGAGAGAAGCCATAGCTATGCTAGGTAAGTTTGGGTTTCTAGGACAGGTACGTTGAGTGGAGGAGTACAGATAGGGTCTTGAGTGACAGACTTGTGTAATGAACTAAGCGTAGAGTGCAGTGGTGCTTAAAGTGATTAAGTTAGCAGAAAGCTAGACGGAGGATTAAGAGAGTCTAACACAACAGGCACAACAGGAAATGACATAATGACGCAATACGCTCACCGTTGGCAGGAAGGCAAGCAGCTGCCATGCTAACTGCTTGTTGTTTGAACCAACTTTGTTTCATGAAGATTTCATTTTAAAGTATGTCTTACAGTTATAGTGCTGTGTGACAGTTTTAGGCACTGCAGATGTTTAGATTCTTATCCATTTTATGCAATCTCTCTGATCGGTCCCAAATTTATCCTGCAGCATGACAGTGACAGTGACTGAGTCCTGCAACAGATGCTCATCATTTCGCCACCATCAGACACCATCAGCTTTCTGTTGCAACCTTTTGTATTCCTTTTTCTAATTTCATCTGAAGTCTGTGAAGATCCTCAGTCGACTAAAATCAGCTGAATCGAGGTCGACTGGTCTTGGTTGTAGAACTTTGAAGACTTTTCATCTGCTTTTCACAAAATGTTTGAATGTGAATGTGACAATATCTCTGATCTTATTTGTACTTGCCATTAGGAAGAAATACGTTAGGATAAATGGTACTTGCATGAAATCCACTGTTTGTATTTTTGATAACTTCTGCAGCTGACAGTGTGAGTGTGTGTACCGGTAGAGATTAGAGCAGTAATCAATCATTAGTTGTTATCAGTCTGAGACCAGGAAGAAGAAAAAGAACGTGTGTGTGTGGTCCCTCTCTGTGCCCCCTCTCAGGCTGCAGTTTGTCTGTCATTACCAAATAGACCCCCCACACACACACACACATACACACACACACATTGCAGCATCTACCAAGTATCTACCAGTCTTCTGCAGAGACTAAAACAATACAAAGTAAAGTGAGAGAGAGACCGAGAAATGTGTGCGTGTAGAAATCAAACAGGAGAATTTCTCTGACTCCACTGCGACCCCGGTGTCACCACGGTGACCAGTAGTGTCAGCCAGACAGAGGTCAACCAGAGGTCAGCAGTCTGGTCTCTCTCCCTCTTCTTCCTCTCTGTCATCCTCTCTCCTCTCACTCTGTATCCCGTTTTACTTTCAGCCTCTCAGCGTCGCTTCACATCCTTTCTCTGACACACTGAGTCAGGCAAAAGGTCAAAGTTCACCCTGACATCACTATGACCTTGTGCTCACTCTCTCTGTCAAATGAACAAGGTTTTATTGTGGAATATAATCAGCCCAGTATACATTTTTACATACATCATCTCTCTTTTCCTTTTCTTAAAGATAATAGCCTTTAGCCTCGATCCTTATTGAATAACCAAACCCCATTACACAAGGTACAGTAATTGGACAATATCTAACACAAATCTAAATTCAAGCTAAATATATATTAAAAACAGTTTTCTCTGCTCAAATGATCTGTTGACTGCTGATTTAAAATAGTTAATTCCAGTATATCTAATGTATGGTGAGAGTGTTTGCCTCATTTTGCACATTCATATCAACTCTGGATATCAACTCTCTCAATTACACACAGTTCACCCGACTTGAATGACCCAGTGTGTTTAGCTGAGAGCATCCACAGCCTCCAATAGTAGAAGGCACTGCTGGGGTTCAAACCCAGCATCTCCTGTTTATCAGACGGGTACTTTAACCAATTAAGCCACAGCATCAATGGATTTTACCACTGGTGTAAACTTTCAGTAGATAAATAGAGCTGTGTTCCTTACATCTGGTTTTCAGTTGTGTGAGCCAAATGCGCCACAGTTATATTAATATGGAAATACAAACAAAAACAAGAAACGAACTGGAAAAACGTCTTTTTATGTGAAATGTGCTCATCATTTTCCTCTCAGCACAGCAGGATTTAGTGTCAGAGAAAAGAAACCAGAACATATTCACATTTGAGAAGAAACTAATCTGAAGACGTTATGAAACTCAGTACAATTTAACATTTCTTTCATTACTGACCAAGTCTTGGTAAGAACATGCACCGTGCACTGCACATTGTCATTCTGACACACATCTGATTCGGCAGCTCATGTGACAACAAAATGTAGCTCTTTTTTGTTGTTGTTGTTGTTGTTGTTGTTGTTGTTTTTACAAAGTTCTGTATGAATGAAGCCATTTTTTGTTCTGCTTCAGTTGCTGCACATGTTTCATTTGGGAATCAAACAGGTCTCACAGGCAGCAGGTGTAAATTCTACTATCCTCTTTGCAAGTCATTTAAATCTACTAAGGTTTAGACTATTGATTCATGTAAATCATAAATCATGCCCATCCTCACTGAAAATGTATTCATTGCTTTAAGTGATAAGATAAAAATATTGATGTGGGAAAAAAAATTCTTGGTGTTGGATTGAAATTTTGTGGTATCACCCACCTCCTCTGTACTCCTGGGTCATTCCAGAGTGACACATCATCAACCTTTGTATTTCAATCTCTTTGATTCTATTGGAAATTGGAATTGGAAACAAAACTGATCTGAGGCAAGTGGGACACTCCCATTCTTAATGAATGTGTAAATACTAGGTGCTAATGTTGCAGTCTCATCTTGCCAAAGCCTTTAATTAGACACACATTTAAAAGTAGATAATTTACTTCCAATGATGAACTAAATGTCATTTGGTTACAGATGCCAATTGTGAATTTATGCATGTGATGTTAATTAAAATCTTCACTATGCATTGTTAAACTCATAGTATGCCAACTTACTTATTGTTAATATCCAAACCCCTGCTTCTGCAGTTCAAGATCCATCACCTGTGCAATGTCAACCAGTTTTCCAAAATTTCTTAAAATTCCTCGCTTTTTTTAATTATAATTATTTAAATGATAAATAATTAAACACAAAATGAAGTAGTCTGACAATAGCTTTCAGTGGAACTAATGCTGATGTTAATGTTTGATAGAAGGATCTGATTCTTCCTTTCAGTGTTACAGACATATCAAAAAAGAAGAAAAATGTTACATGTATGACATGTCTGGGGTTTTATGGCAGCTATATGAGCCTAGTTCATAATTCCCATTTGTTCTTTCTTTACAGAGAAAGGCATTGGAGTTATGTCTCCTCCAATTTTAGTTACTAGTCAGCTGTTTAGCTGAATATCACAACAACATGTGGTTGATCATGTGATTCTGACGTAGCTGCTGCAGTGGAGAGAGAGGGAGGGCTGTGTGATAAATGTGTGGAAATGTGAGTCATTGTTGTGTTGAGTCAACTTCCTCTGGATCAGAAGAGCTACTCTATGAGAAAAATGAGAGTTTCTTCATTTTCTTCACCTGCAACACAAATCACACAAACCAGTGCCTCAGGCCTCACAGTGCAGAGTGTCACTGAGGAGTACTTCACTGAGGCAGCGACTGTTGAAGTGAGATTTTTCTCAGCAGCTGCACAACTAGGCAAAAGGCAACTCTATCCGATTCAGATGTGTGTTTTCTCAGTGGACAAAGGTGGAAATAAAGAGTCAAATCAGCAGGCAGCATGTTTGCATCCACCACCTATTGTCCAGTTTGCATGACATTAAGCAAATAGATGAGTGAACAGAGTGCACTCGCGTGTGAGGTGGAGGAGGTGAGCAGCACCTCACTCTGTGTAAGGAAAACAGCAGCAGGTTCCTCTCTGCCTTTACCTTCACTGTGCAGTCTCTGCCTAAGACAATATAAATATACCAAACCCTCACTAACTGGGTCTGACTTGGGTGTGGGTATCATCAGCCCTGCTTCCACTAAGGAAGTTCCTGGTAAAATTCAGGAGGTGTGAACTTTAGAGGAATGTGCACTGTCTCTCCCTTCTATAGGCCAGTGTATCTCCACTGCAGAGTTGGCCCTGTACACCTCCCACCATACTCTTGAGGCGCAACAGTTGTGCAACAGTTTCGATCATTGTGCGGTAGTTTTTCTTTTACTGTTCTTGTTTTTTTCTGCTGCTTTTGTGTTTTCTCTTTGTGTCAGGAGTTTACCCACTCAGCACTGAGTAAACCTCAAGCCCCACCCGGGAGTTATTCTGGGCCACTCAGAGCAGGGACTTATTTTGCTCCTGTCGAAGTTTGGGAAAACTGTCTTTGCCTTAAAAATTTCACTGAAGCTCCTGCAGCGGAAACGGTGCTATCCTGTTCTACTGCCTCATGGCTCTGGTGTGGGTGTTTGTCTGTGGATCTCAGTGACTCATCACAGCTTCGCTGGTGTCCTCAGGTTACTGCTCATCTGATGGTCCTATGATTCAGGATGATTTTCAAGGACACATTTTCAATTTCCTCTGTAAAATTATATTTTGCACATACATACACTTGCACATATAAAGAGAAAACAAACAATGGCCTATCAGGATTGTTTCACACAAAGCCAAAATTGTTTGAAATGAAAGAAATGTATGTGTTTGAAGGATGTGTAAATTAATAGCTGTCTACTTAACAGTCTAAAAGAAAAGCATGTTCAGTATGAAACTTGGAAACAGCTGCACATCCACATTTATCCATAACCTTGTACATTGTCCATTCTGCTCTTCTAGTATAGACAAACTCTCATCATATCTTGCCCAAGGGCAATCAGACCTCTAGTGGACGAACCACCCATAATATCTGCACAATCAACTGGTCTTTATTAATGTAACTATCTTTAAATACCTGAACCACAGAATTTAGATATACAGTGACATCTAAAGGCCTGTGACAGCTTCTCCATGCTTGATGTTGAGGTAACTTTTAATAAAAATGTACATCATATGTTGAATTAAGAGGATAGACATTGGTCCCTTGGTCGACAATAATCAGCATTGCATAATCCCCACTGTATATATAGATTGTAAATAAAGACTGATGTAGCCTCAGTGACATCACCCACAGGTTTCTGAAGAGTGGTCTCGAACCTTAGAGTGAGATGCTCTTCCACTCTGCCTGTACTTTACTCCACCTCTAACTATACCCAGTCTAACAAGGTTGTGTTGAGACTTTGGTGTAAATATATGCTCACATACCGATTGCTCAAAGTGGCCACGCCCTCAGTTCTACAGATCATTCAGTCTTGTTAAAAATTAAACAGGTGATTTGTATCAAAATTCACTCCCATAAAGTCATCATGAAGGAGACAATTAGCTGTACAGACTGAAACCATCATTTCTGTTGTCTGATATTTTAACATGAGAGTTATAGCCGTGCCCCAATTCAGCGGCTGCAGCCCTTGGAGGCAGCATTTGAAGGCTGATGATGTCACAGCGTCACGACAAGGCCTATCCCAATTCAATACGAAGGCTCCTCCAAATGTGGCTGAGAAATGCAGCCTTCTTCTCCTGAATTTGGAGGACTCAACTGTTGCATCCTTCATGCCCACCGTATCCCAGAATGCATTGCAAGCCAAGTAAACAAATGAGATGGCGGCATCAGCGGATGACTATACGTGTAAATGTAAGTATTGGGAATAAACTCACGTGATTAACTAAACGATAGTGAAGAATAACTAACGAGGGTCTTAAAACATCAAAACGCTGGCCCAGGTACTGAAGCTTCTCCAGCTCTTCAAGCAAAATGTACATGCTTGTGAAATGTTTCTTTCTCCATTGTCTGTTTTTCTTTTTTTTTTTCTCCTCCGATTCTTGATGTGCCCGTCAGCTGTGTGGACTTCAACATTGCTAGGCAACGGGAGAGACACTTTGTTATGCAAGGATACAGATGGCGACGCAAATACGACGCCACAGAAGACCAGACTGTCCGCCTCCGAAGGCATTGCCACCGTAGACCGCGTAGGCTGGGTCCTCCGAAGGCTGCAGCCGCTGAATTGGGACACGGCTATATATGGGGTCTGACTCACTGTTGCAGCCACACTCTAGTGGTTGTTAGAGGAACTGCAGGTTTTGGTTCTTCAACTGTTGGCTTCTTTTTCAGGTCTGGAGTTTGCTGCTTTGTAGAATCCCCTGGATTCTTGAATCCAAGGAGATTGTGAGCTGTCACATCTGTCTGACCTCTGGAAACCTCACCTGCATAGAGACCATTCCTTTCTTCCTTTTTCTTTCTTTCTTTCTTTCTTTCTCCTCTGGTCTTCATTTTAAATATCAGACATTTTCTCTGTTTTACTGTATCATGCAATCAAAGGAGAGGTGAAACTTAATGGGATTTCTTGTCATCTGAACAATGTTTTCATTGTGCGCAGGACGAAGGAAAAGAAGGAGAAATAGGAGGGAGAGGAGGAGAAGGAGAAGATGAAGACAGAGGAGACGGAGGAGGAGTGAAGCGGAGTACATGGTCAGGTCAAATACTGCATTTTCGGGTGAAACTGAGTTCACATTTCCATACAGCTCAGCTTGTGTGTGTTTGTGTGCATGGCTGCATGTGTGTGTCGTCTCCACTGGGGCGGGTGACATCAAATTTGTAACCAAGCTGCACCAACAGATGGAGCTCCTATTGTCGCAGCATATTCACAACCACCTACACCCCTCCCCCCCACACACACACACACACACACACACACACTATTCACATTTTGTGAATAAAGTACACAAGCATCAAGATTCGCAACCTCCTGGGGTTAGTGTGTATACACACCCACAAACACACACACAAACAGACACACTCACACACATAGTAACCAATCTCTGACAAGGCCTCTGCAAGCATGCACTCATACTTATGCATACTGTACACACACACACACATATACACAGGCACACACACACACACAC